TTTTTTTTTTTTTTTTTTTTTTACAATTTTAAATCTATATACCCAGCTCAAAAAACTCATTCCATAAATATGGACGAGTTTAAGAAAATTTCATAACCCGGCTTAAAAAATTGCATCTCACGAGTCAAAAAAATCACATCCCTCATCTATCGTAACAACTTTAAAGATAAACAAATAAAAGTCTAATTACTACTATAAATCCATTATCTATTTAGATTTTATTAAAAATCTAAATTTCACCTGTCTAATTACTAATATTTTAGATACTTTTAAATATTATTTGTATAATTTTTTTTACACATTTGCTCTCTCTCTCTATATATATACATATATGGAGGTTAAATGAAAAATTTTTAGACATGGTTTCTTACGGGTAGTTTAGAAAATAGGTAGCTTCAAACATTATTTGTGAATAATATAGAATATTTTAGATGCTTTTATAAATGTTATAAAATATTTTAAGTATTTTTAATATTTATATATCACATTTAGAAAGAATATTTTGCCAAAAAAAATATTAAATACACATTGTAAATGTTAATAGAAACAACCTTCAGTTTTCGTCTTTGATCTAAATTACATATAAAATTTCTTTTTATTCGTCACATAATTTTTCGTGTGCATGAATCTCGATTTGTATTTGTAAAATTGATAGCTTTTGCATTAATTTCAATTTGTATTTATAAAATTGATAATTGTTAAACGTACAAATTCCTTTTTATGGTAACAACTTAAAAAAATGATAGTAATTTTTGAAATATTGTGTAGTCAAATCTTCATATGGAAGTAACATCATAATTATGGTATTTTATAAATCTTCTCTAAAACAACTTTAGCGTGAGATAATGTCTTCATTTAGGCTTATAATATTTTAGATACTTAAACAAAATGTTCAGACATATTTTTTTACATATTCTATCTATACGTACATATATATATACTCACATATACGTAACACATGTTAAGTTTAATTATTTTTAGACAAGTTTTCTTACAAAATAGTTTAAAAAATCTTACATGCACATCTATACTTATATGCATTCTATTTACTAGAATTAGTAGTAAGAAAAGTCAAAGGTAATTAATGCATTCTATTTCCATCAAGTATTTTATTTAATTATTTTAGTTAATTGTTTTATCTCATAACACATTTTCAATACAACTTACCACGATTTTTCTATTGTGATTAAAAACAAATTTTACGTTTAAAATCTTGTGAAATTATTATTATTATTTTTATAAAGCACATATTATTTGTTAAAAATTGTATATATATATATAATACACATCACAATACCATGGTAGATGATTTAAATTTCAACCGACCAAAATGTCAATGATTTAAATTTGAACACACATATGCGTTTGACCAAATGTCTGGATGATTTAAAATTGAGCTCATAAAAAATTATTTAAATTTGAACACACCAGAAATTTTATGTACTTTATTGAAAGTAGTATTTAGTGGTTGTTATATAAACTATTTTAATATATTTGCAATGAATAAAAGTTTGAATGAATAATTTTTAATGTTATTCATAATATTTGTGACTTATAAGACACTAACACATAATTCCAGACATATTTTTTGCCAGAAGGTGGCTTAATAATTTTTTAGACTTAACGTTGATTAAAAGAGGTAGAAAATAGATAATAACATTATTACTTTTCAGACTTAAACGGACAAGACTGTGAAAATTACCCATTTATTATTTTTGTCTCGTGCATCACACGGGGTACGTACTAGTATGTGTTTACTAGAGAATAAATTTATTCATACATTCATTCTTACAGCCAAAAATCATTTTGTAAAGTGCTGATAAAGTAATTACCCTAACATGTGTAGCAATGAAGAGTTGAAAGTTGAAACAGCAGGAATACATTAGCCTTGAATGAAGCTGAAGAAAATCAAGACAAATTGCAATCGATTCAATATCATAACACCCATTGTAACAAAAGCATTCGATCGGACCCAAATGTACATATCATCGCACAAGTTCTTGTCCATACAGCAGACTTAGCTCTCATCCATGAAACTCGGCGCTTATACTCAGAGTTGCATGCCTTCCTTGAATATTAAATTATTGGATTTCACAGAAGAATGACAACAATAGGGAAGTAGTGTAACATAATTCTGTGTCTTAAAATAGAGACGAGCATACAGAATGAGGGTAGAAGTAAATATTTGCAACTCGATTCGACAACAAATATTTTTCTAAGCAGAATTATGTCATCAAATTCTAAATGGTATTCGCAAACAAGAAAGGAGTAAGTACTCCAGATAAAGAAAAATTGCATCCAAAACCTGTTGGAACAAGAAAATCATAACAATGGATAATAGCTTCAAAATCAAACAATTCAAACCCTGAAACCTCTGCTGTTTCTTCTTCCTCTAGCCCTCTCAAACTTCCTTCCCTTAGCTCTCACATAGGGCTTGGTGTGGCTATGTGGAACACCAGGAGCTGGGCCAAAATGCTTCACTGCTTCACGAGCCTTGGGCGAACCTCTCAAGAGAACCTATAACAAAATGGTACAATTGTCACTGGTATTATAATACTGTATTATCAAATTACTTTGAGATATGAGGTGCAAGATTGTAACCTAATATCCATAGATTTTTTATTCCAGAATGTGTTTCAAGTATATATGTAACACTGTCTTACTTCTTGCTAGTAAAAGGGAAATGGATTTTGATTTCACGATGGAAATCGCGGTCATGTCCAAATATCTAGTGAATATGCTTTTGTTCAATCACTACCAGGGGAACAAATTTTAGTCGTAAACCTTGACAAATTTAAAATAAATACCATAACACTAAGATACCTAAGCAAAAAGAACTAAAATATAATCATAAACTTTTGCCTTAAGATTGCATTTACTGTAAGGTTATGCAAATTTGAAGAATCCTTACCGTGTTCTGCCCAAGAGGTGCTTTAAGTGCAAGCTGGTCAAAGGTCAAGCATTCACCACCTGCCTTTTCAATTCTGGCCCTCGCAGTTTCAGTGAATCTCAAAGCAGTAACCTTCAGTGCAGAGACTTCGTCCACTCGAACGTCATCAGTAACAGTCCCAACAAGGACTGCAATCTTATCCTCCTACCATAGATAATAATTTTGAAAATCATTGAAAACCCTTAGTAAAATCCTCGTAAATCAACACTACTCCCAGTGTAATTACACAAACTAAAATATCTAAACTAAATCACCAACAATCTGTCTTCATATGAAATTGGGATTGCGATGCGCAAAAGTAGACCATTTCCATAAAATAAAACCCAAGAAAATATACTTTACAGATAAACTTGATTCTCAGATTCTCGAAAGAAGCGATACTTTAGTAGTTTTACCCGTACCTTTTCTTAGAATAATCACTCATTCTCACACAATTATCAGGTTATCAATTCTCCAGCAAAATAAGTGCTCATACTCATTTTTTCACCATAAACAGATTTCAATAACGAGTTCAAACAATACAATGAACACCACTTAATCAAAATAAACAATATCGAAGAAAATGCCAACAGATAAACTATCCACCTTGCCCTTCATGAGTGCTATGAGCTTGGAGAGCGACATGGGGGCTTTGTTAACCCTGCTCATGAACAACCGCTTCAGTATCACCGCATTGAACTTGCTTCCTGTCCTCCTCACCAAAAACCGGTACAACTACAGAGCCAACCCAAACGTATGAATCAGCATTCATAACTAAAGCTTCAGTTTTTTCAAACCCCATTATCATCATCTACACAACGACGAGAAAAAATAAACATGGGATCAGAAAAAAAAAAAATACCTTAACGAGGAGCTTGAGGTATATATCATTGGATTTTGGTGCAGTCCGCTTGGTCTTCTTGCTCTTACCTCCGGCGACCAAATCAATACCCTACAAGAAAATTAATCAAACGTACGAACAACATGTGCTCGTGCATTTTGTTCCAAACAGAGATGATCTAACAGCTTACCATGACGCCTGTGGCTTCTGCTTACGCCGCCGCGCCTTGGTCGGAGAGGAGAAATGGCGATGGGGAGCTGAACTAGGGTTTTTTGTAGTGCTTGTGTTTTAATAATTTATTTGGAGATTAATTCCAACACCCCATGGTATAAGAACTTCTCCATTCTAATAAGCCCAAAACTCATATATTATTGTAAGGCCTACAAAAGCCATGTGGGCTTGGCTTAGAGCCCAAGCGCTTGTGGGATTGTATATTTATTGTTTTTTTTTTTTTTTTTT